TTTAGCAGTTCTCTAAGATCTCATTTCCCTAATATTTACCTTGATTAAACAAGCTTAAAGTTTTCCATTTTACTTTCCATGGTTGGCTGAGAAATTCATCCTCAGCTATTTCAAACATCCCTGCTGTGGCTTTCACTTTTTGCGCTTTGTTACCAAGAAAAAGAAGCTCTTTGCAAAGTCTTCTCTGGAACTGTGCATAAATGTTATACGTGGTTTCGATCTGCTCAAATGTAGTTTATAGTGAAAAATCACCAATTTCTTTGTACCTTTGCACTGCTGAAAGATTGCTACTTCAGTGCTTGTGAGTGCATAATTGTGGTGTTGTGTTTGGACGTGCATGGCTGGATAGCTGGCTGTTTTATGTGATCAATTTTATTTCTGCATTCTCTTTTCTATTTATGTTAGCAGTCCACCCTTTGGATCTTTGAACACTTACTAAAAGCTATCTTTAAATCTCAAGCTCTTTGTTGGATTCTGTATTTTATCTGCATACTGAAATGATCCCTAGATTTCTAATACTGAGAAATGAATTTTCGTTAATTGGTTTCTGATTTTTGTTTCTAGCTTTTACAAATTACAATATTATTCTACTTGCATAGTCTTACATGTTAGATTGTTATTTTTCTTTTCGCTATGTCCTCTTAATTCAATAATTTTCAATCAGGTTGGCGGTTTGGGGGATGTTGTGACGGGTCTTGGTAAAACATTGCAGAAGAAAGGTCACCTTGTAGAGATTGTTCTCCCAAAATATGACTGTATTCAATATGATGGAATTCGTGACTTAAGGGTATGTAGAGAAACGCTTACTAATGTATGTTTGTGATGATTTTATTTTATTAATTTATTTTTGGTACAGGCCTTAGATGTAACAGTAGAGTCATATTTTGATGGCAAACTATTTCAAAATAAAATTTGGGTTGGTACTGTTGAAGGTGAGATTTTTTTTCCTTTCCCTTTCAGTTCCATGTTATCTATTAGCTACGCAATCTAATGCAATTAAATTCATAGGTCTTCCGGTTTATTTTATTGAGCCTCATCATCCCAACAAGTTCTTTTGGAGAGGACAATATTATGGAGAGCATGATGATTTCAAGCGTTTTTCATATTTCAGTCGTGCAGCACTCGAGTTGCTTCTTCAAGCTGGCAAGAAACCAGATATAATTCACTGCCATGATTGGCAGACAGCTTTTGTCGTACGACATTTTGGCCTCCTGTTTCTTTTGGCCCCTGATTTAATATTGTTCTGTTTACTGAAGTGTTTCTTCATTTTCAGGCTCCACTTTACTGGGACTTGTATGCTCCAAAAGGTTTAAATTCAGCTCGAATATGTTTTACTTGCCACAATTTCGAGTACCAAGGGGCTGCATCTGCTTCGGAATTGGCATCATGTGGTCTGGATGCCGAGCAGTTAAATAGACCTGATAGAATGCAGGATAACACATCACATGATAGGGTCAATCCTGTTAAGGTGCTGAAATCACTGGTTTGGCTATAAGCCGATTACAAATATCACTAATTGAAATTACTGCTTATTTGGTATTCTTTTTCTAACTTCCCTTCTTTTTCAGGGTGCAATTGTGTTCTCAAACATAGTGACAACAGTATCACCTACTTATGCACAAGAGGTCCAAACTGCAGAGGTATGAATATTTTGTAGTTTTTCTTTCAACATGGCCGGTCTTCTTTTATGATTTTAAGGTTAAACTGCAGAATAACCCCCCCCCCCTTAACTTTTACAGGGAGGAAAAGGCCTCCATTCAACACTTAATTTTCACTCGAGAAAGTTCGTGGGAATCTTAAATGGGATTGATACTGATGCATGGAATCCTGCCGCCGATAATTTTATCAAAGTGCAGTTTAGTGCTAATGATATGCAAGGGAAAGCAGAAAATAAAGCTGCCATCCAAAGGCAGCTAGGGCTTTCTTCTGCTGATGACCAACGGCCATTGGTAATTTTATTTCTAAATTCTTTATTTGTTATAAAACGATGCAAAATCATCTCTAACACCCTTTGTTTTAACCCTACTTTTCATGGAAATGAAGGCGTCTAGTCTATTTCGTAGCAACGTTATTGCGTATAAATTCATAATACAGGATGTTCTTTGTCTGCTATGCCCTTTTTTTCCTACTGTTTTGCATTTTTGTCGAGTTGATTTGCATCTTTTGCAGCAACTTAAATAAAGTTATAAATCAGACTGTCCGGCTTTTCCTTTAGCAAGCTCAAAATTTAATCAATTTTGAGAATCTGACTTGTTGGAGATGGCCTTCAAATCCTCATCTGATAAGAAGCTATATGATTTAACCAAAACTGAATGTCAAAAATAACTAATCTACCTCATATAGGAGGTTGTTATTATCCCTTAACCGAATGCTGCCTAAATTCTTACTAGAAGTCTTTTACTATCAATAGGTGGGCTGCATAACGAGATTGGTTCCACAAAAAGGTGTGCATCTAATTAAACATGCCATATATCAATCGTTAGAGATGGGCGGTCAGTTTGTACTTCTCGGTTCAAGTCCAGTTCCTCACATTCAGGTGAATCTCTATTGCTTTTCTGTGTAATAGCTGATAGCAAATGGTGGCAAAGAATATCTCACTAGCAAAACAGCTTTTTAAAAGATATGAACCAGTAAGGATAACAAATTTATTTCTGCATACATGAAATAGAGAAATAAGAACTATAAAAACTCCATTCGAGATTCGTTTCATGCATTAAATGATAACTGTCTATGTGCGGAATTACTTGTTTTATGTTAGGTTAATCCTTTTCCCGTTCCATCCTTTCATTGCTTGACACCGTTAGTAGATTGAGATCCTTTCCTAATGTTTTCGTTTTTCTTGTTTGCAGAGGGAATTTGAGGGTATAGCGAACCAATTTCAACATCATGAACATGTCCGACTAATACTAAAATACGACGATTCTCTTTCTCATTCCATTTTTGCAGCATCTGACATGTTCATCATTCCATCTATTTTTGAGCCTTGTGGCCTTACACAGGTATGCTCCAAACTTCAGCATTAACAATCTTGTTGAACATAGAACAACTAGATCGAAACACGTGTTACCCTTGGTCAACCATTTGAATATCTGATCTGTTTAAGGTTCCCTTTTTCTTATTTATGATTGACATGTTCATCCAGATGATAGCAATGAGATATGGTTCGGTACCCATTGCAAGAAAAACCGGCGGCCTAAATGACAGGTGAACAACTTTATCTGATTTAAGCATGTCAATCCACTAACATGAAGTTAATAGACTGAAAAATCATAAGCTTGTTCTTTTGTAATTTTCTTCCGTAGCGTTTTTGATGTCCACGACGAGACTATCCCTCGCAAAATCCGAAATGGTTTTACATTCATAACTCCTGATGAACAGGTAACTCTCCTGGAATATAATTAACCAGCATTCAAACTTCATTTCAGTTAATTTTTATTCTATCACTCTATCCCGATCACCGATTTACTTTCCGATACCATTGGTTTTGCTCTCAAAACTATCAGGGAATAAACAGTGCATTGGAACGTGCATTTGATCTCTACAAGAACAACAAAGAGAGCTGGAAACAACTCGTTCAGAAGGACATGAACATGGATTTCAGCTGGGATTCTTCGGCATCACAGTACGAGGAACTTTACACCAAGTCCCTTTCTCGAGCAAGAGCAGCAGCGAGCAGCGCTTAAGATCATGCTTGGTTGAGCAGAAAAGTAAGAGGAACAATTCAACGATTCACAGGCTTATAAGTGAAGATCGGTAACGTTAAAGCTGCATCGAATTCGGTGGTACTGTCTGCACCTTTCCGCTCCAATTGTTGATAGTTACATTTTAATCACTCTGTTCATATTTATGGTAAAGCTTTATGTACATTGAAGGTTTTTTTTTCCTTGTCCACTCTGAGTAATTTTTTATCTTACATGGTTGCATATAACATTGTCTAGTTCTCAAAACACTTACTATAGATGGCTGGGAAGTGAGAAGTATACTCTGGAATTTATTTGTATCAAATTTTGCAGTTATATTCTTCGCCTCATTGTTTTACAAGCGCTTTCTTTCTGATAAATATAATCGTAAAATAAGTACAGTATCCTTTGAAGTAACACAATACTCTCATATTTGTATACCCAAATAAAAAAAAGTGAAACCCGATTATTATTACTCTCCTTGGGAAAGAAAGAAATCTAGCTGAGAAATTAGGGAAATAAACCGAGCAAGAAGGAAGAAAAGAGGAGAAATAGATTCTATTATGAATCATAAAGTCACGGCTTTAACTTATTTAGAGAGTTTTGAAGGGGGCAAAAAATAATAGGATGTTCGAAATTGTATGTTAACACGAACACAAATCGAACAGAATTATATATGTCAATGGGATTATTACTTACTAGTCTTTAATTGATCATTAATGTGGTTGATGAAATGATATGGTGAAGGGAACAAGTAAAAGCTCGAAAGGTAGGGGGATATGACACATGATGCTCTAATCGATTTGCAACAAATTTACATCACACAGAAAGAAAAACAAGGAAAATACAGATCCATTTCACTCTCTTTCCTCACTTTCCGAGGACAAAGTTGGTGGCATAGGCCCAAACATTGTTGTTAACCGGGTCAGCAAAGTGGTCAGCCAAGTTCTCCAACGGACCCTTGCCGTACGCGATTTTGCCTGTACGAAGAACCCGAACATCGAGAACATAGCCAACCGCCCGTTCTCAATCCCACATAATATTAAAAACATTATTGAAAATGGATATTTAAGTTCTGGATTTTTCACTTTCTTGTTGAGTAAAAGAGAATAAGGGGGACTCTCGTGCACCGCTACCGTCGTCCGTTCGACACGGCACGGCTCGTGGTCGAATGTGTCTTCGACACATCCGCACGGATACTATTTTTAAAAAAAAATTCTTAAGGAATTTCTCTTTTCGAATGATAACAGCTGATTTATCAGTTATCAGAAATTAAACAATTTTTTCTTAAATTAAATAAAAAACGATTGATTTCCAGTTTTATACAGAGGAGACAAGCTGTAATATCAGGAGTCAGGTTCATCAGCTTCTTAATTCACTATCAACATTCAGAATTGACTGTTTTCTAAAGTTCTTTCTGTGTGATTTTCGATCAGAAGTGCAATACCACAAACTGTCCACTCCGGTTTACGGAATTCGAAGCGACCGTGTTAACTTCGGGAGACGATCTGCCTACTACAACGATTACACACATCGAGACGAATTCGTTTCGACAATAATTTTATCATGACACGATTTACGAATATATTCTTTTTAAATTATTGTTTATCTTTTCGGTCGTTATTAAGAACGTGGTTTTGCAGTACATATTTCTAATTACCTTGAGTTCGGAGAATGCTTCCGGGTCATCAGCAAGACTTAAAGGGTCAAAGCTACCACCAGGGTACAACGGGTCGGTCACCTGACCGATAGGTCCACCGGCGATACGGTAACCCTCGACGGCACCCAGTAGAATAACTTGCTAAGCCCAGATGGCCAAAATGCTTTGAGCGTGGATCAAGCTCGGGTTACCCAAGTAATCGAGTCCACCCTCGCTGAAGATTTGTGAACCGGCCTTGAACCAGACCGCTTCGCCGAACTTGACGCCGTTACGCTGGGGGAAAACGCATCCGAGAGCACCCAACATGGTCCATCGGCAGTGGAAAACCTCATTGGTTTAACAAACAACGCTTAAAATTGCTGGGGTTTTTTTTATACGTTCAGGTCCACCTCAAATATCCAACGCTGACACGTGGTGTTGAAAGTGCCACGTAGACATTGGGAATCAAATTTCCATACAAACCAATAGAAATTCATATGTAGATAGCCTTAGATAACACCCTTTCACGATATGCATTAGAAAGTTTTGGGAAATTGATGAAATCAACTGAATAATCTTAATGTTGTGGGTTTAATTCATTGAATATTTCAACAAAAACCAATGTTTAAATTTTATCAATATTCTTATTTAACTCTATTCAATAATAAAATCAATTTCAACTTCAACGAGTTATAATAAAACTCACACAATAATAATTAGTTGACCCTTATTCCGATATGTAATGGAGTAAGGGGAAGGTAGGATAGTAGGTTGCCTCCAACGCCAGGTTGAGAGTAACTTCCGTAGGAGACTTCCGAATTATGAAATACCCTCTATGGGACTCGATCCCACAACCCCAATAATAAGAGCCTTGTGCTCTACCAACTGAGCTTGATAGTCATTTTAAAACTCACACAATAATGATAAACCTTAACAATATAATAACAATATGATAATAATGAGATTATATGTATTCAAACAGATTATATGTATTCAAACTAAGAACATTACACATTTTTTTGGATAAACTATAAGTTTAGTATGTCAACTATCACTCTTGTTCCGTTTTGATCACCTAATTTTTTTTCATAATCATACCTAACGTTATGTTTCGATTTCATTTTGGTCACGCATTGTTAAAAAAATTAATGATGATGTTGATGTGTCTACATAAGGTAGTGCCACATCATCATTGGAAAAAAGTCACACCAATAATTTTGTTAATTTTTTAATGGTAGGTAATCAAAATGAAATCAAAACGTAACTTTAGATATGATTTTGAAAAACAAAATAGTTGAGTGATCAAAATAGAACAAAAGTGATAGTTGGGGTACTAAATGTGTAGTTTACCCTTCTTTCTTGGTGGTCGGTGGTGTCATGCCAACAATAGTTTGTGTCGAACAGCTTGCTTTCTCATGTTCCAATCCAGAAATAGAGATTAAAAAAACAAGTGATTTGGTAGTGTGAATTGCGAAAGCTATGTGGGGTTTTTGCTCTTCTTCTTCTTTATGTTTTCTAGTAATGGTAATGGCGTATCTCACCGTCAATGTCTCAAAATGATTAAACTCCCTTTAATACATTGCTTCTTTTATTCAGTATAGTTCATAAATACATCGATTATATGATCGTAAGTATCGAAATCTGATTATATATTTATATAAAAAAAATATTATTTAATTTTTACCTTCGTGAATATCAATTGAACTAAAAATGATAACGTATTAAAATTTGGATCCTTCATTATAAATCATTACGATGTATTAGGGATTTTGTCATTGCATAATCATCAATCAAGCACTTAATGGAGATGTGACGAAGTGTGTTTGTTTTCAGTACCATTCATTTGTGTAGAGAATTTTGGTTAAACCAAACACCTTTTCCTTAGACCATTAATAGATAAAAAATCAAAAGTCCTGCCTGGCAGATCAAATGTAATGAAACAATAACAGCTTTTTCCCAGAAGGCAAAACTTGAAATCAACCATTACTAAATTGTTGATTTAAGACATCCTAGTACGAGACCACTTGTTAGATGACTGGTAAGAAAATTTAATGTTTTAAATAAAGTTTCAAATTAAAGTTTTATAAATAAGAAAAACATTGTTATTTTTATTTAAAAGTTTAATTTTGATCGATTTAAGATATTATCGGATTTAGAGATGATCAAAATATTTAACCCTAACAAATTTTAACTAGATTTGATAAGGTTTTTTTTTTTTTTGAAATTCATATTTGGTGAAAAAATCTTCAACTCGACCCGACATGATAATTATTATAATACTCATTTTTATATATTTGAGGATAATTATTATAATGTTTCTTTATATTTTTAAATTATCTTTTTATCTTGTCAAATAAAATAGATAAAAAGATAGACTAAGATTGAATAAAACCTACAATTTTGATAAATACGTAAAAAATAAATAAAACCCTGATACATATCATCCCGTGTCTATCTCTAGTTAAATTTAATGTGACTATGAATTATTAAGGCTGTAAAAAAAACTTGTTGACGAAAACCTAATCTATTCTGAATTTCTGCAATAATTTCGACAATTAAACTCATGTTGAGTTTATTCTTTATTTATAAGGTTTGGAGTACGACAGAGAAAATGTTTGAGTCAAACGTCTTTGCTTCGTGTTCCTTTGACCATGTCTTTAACCTGTTCAGCTCTTCAAAGAGGATCATAAATTTAAAATTAATTATGGGTTAAAAGCTAAAACATATTTTCAACAATCATTACTTAAAAAAAAGAGAGCCTTTATGGCAAATTTACAAGAAAAACACCCAATGCTTTTCATGTTTGCCCTTACAAATCCTCGGTTAAAACTGTCCATTTGCGGCATTTTCATCCTATATATATATATATATATATATATATATTTATATATGAACTTTCCTTCATTTCTTATTACCCAAGTATCTTCCTTTTACTTTCAACACAGAACAATGGCTAAATCAACAGTCTCTCTTCCAGTTTTCTGTCTTCTCCTCTTCCTGTTTGTTAGGTCCCTTCAGAATTTGTAAAACTATTGCATAAATGGTAAAACTGTTGTTAGGTCCCTTCAGAATTTGTAAAATCATACGTTGATAGAATGGTAAAATTGCATTTCCATTACTTATCAAAATTTCATTCCCATTTATGCAGGGATCTTTCTGAAGCTGGCCAAAGGGCAGGTTTAAACTTAATGTTTAACTGAGATATTACTATGATTTTCCATTAAGAAAACCCTTTTTTCTCTTTCAAAATCCTCATTTTTTTATTATTAATTAAATAGGGAAAAACATGGTTTGTTGCAAAGCCTTCGACCGATGATGCAGCACTGGCTTCCAACATAAACTCGGCCTGTAATGATCTTGGATCCTTGGGATGGAACTGCAGCCAGATACAGCCGACCGGAGGCTGCTTCGAGCCCGACACTCTCTTCAACCATGCATCCTTTGCCATGAATTCTTACTACCAAGCCTATGGTCGTCAGGAACATACATGTTACTTCACGGGCTCTGCTCTCATCACCATCTCCGACCCAAGTAAGACCTTAATCCTATAAAGAAAAACATGTTTTTTTTTGTTTACCTTGGTTCTGCTGATCATGATTGTTTGTTCTTGCAGGCTATGGAAACTGTCAGTATGCGTGAGGAGTACTGATATGGAAGATATGTTCTGTTTGAAGGTTTCTGGGGGTTGTTTGTAATAAATTTATTTACAATATTCTAGGAGATTGGATTCTATAGCATGTTTTCATGGATGAAACGATTGTTATATTTGGTCTATATGATATTTAAATGATGATTATAAAAGTATCATTTCTATTATATTTTTTATTTTGTAGTGTTTGTGAATTTATTCTTCTTACAACCTGCGTATCATATAATAACCTTTAAACATAATCGAGCTAAGGATAGTACTATACAATGATACAAGGAATTCGAAATTCTTACGTTTTAAATTGAAATATTGAGAATTGAGAAAAATAGCATTATGAAAGTTTTATCCTTATGGTTATCGATAGTTATTAGATTGAATGGTTAGAGTCCAATAAAATTATCGAACATTAGGAGCTTTGCTCCTAACAAAACAATTAATCTGGTCTTTGTATTGACACTAATTCAGCATTTACTCTGAACTTTTAGAAAATTAATTGGAGTTAATTATACAATACATCTTCAAATTATAATTTCATTTTAAATTAATTATTAATGTTACATTTTGATTTCATCCCTAAATTTTGACTCACATTTTGAGTTAATCCTTGTTGTGAGGACAAATTGAATTCGTCGAACATTAACGGTTCACCCCTTTGATTTGAGGAGAGAGTTGTGACCGACGAGAAAATAACTGTCGATCGATGATAACTTTCTATGAGAAGGATGGTGGGAAGATCCTCCTTGTCCTAGAAGAAGGGTAAAAAGGTCATATTTTCTCTATGATTGAGAGGGATTTATAAGTGTGACTATGTAATGATATATGATATAGAGACCATCACGGCTACTTGAAGGTAAGGATGAACATGGGTCAAGTTTTCGATCAATTCGATCCGAGATTAGAATGACTTCATACGACTTGAACTCGACCCGACTTTTTGAGATAAATCTGAATCTGACACGAAACGTACACTCCCTCTGTCCCATAAAAAATGTCCCTTATTGACTTTTCAAAAGTCAAAATTTTTAAATTATGACCATATTTTTTAAATATTTTAAATAATTAAATTTTATAAAATATATATTTAAAAACTACTTTATTGAATTTTTTAAAATATATTTTTATCAATAATTAATTTTAAATAATAATTAGTTAAAGTTTAAAAAAATTGACCCAAAAAGTTAATAATTGACATTTTTTATAGGACAGGAGGAGTTAATTTAAAAAAATACTCTTAATCAATAAAAATATAGATTTGATTGAAAAATAATATATAGAAGTGTATTATTGCAATTGTTCATAAATATATAAGATATAATTATATTATTTTCGAGTAAGGTCGGGTCTGATATTTTTCACCCTAAACTCGAACCCGGACATATTCTTTAAAAAACTCAACCTAATCTAACCCGATTTAAAAAAAAACGGATCCTATAAGCTCGGGTCGAGTCAGAACCTATCACGTTTATGTTTCGATCCCATCCCTACTTATAGGTTGACCGTTGACATGTTAAATATATAGGATTGCCAAATCTTGGATTTTTCCATAGTGGATTGGTTTGATCTGTAAGATATCTTAATATCTTATCTAGAGGTCTCATTCATCTACTGTAGTTGATTTCAAAGTTTATGTTGCAAGGGTATGAGACTGTAGGAAACTCCGATAAGTAAAGATGTCTATTCATGAGTTCTAAAAGGTTGAGAATAAGTAATCTTTGGAGATGACTTCCGGAGGTAAAATAATTCCATACTTTTTAATGTTTCAAAATTATTCTTAAACTATGATACTCGTTTTAAATAAACATTTGAATATTTTAATAGTATCTCTCAAGATCATTCAAAAATTTAGGGATAAAATTAAAATGTTTAAAATTTGAAAGACCAATTTAGAATGATAGTCATGATTTAGGAACTTAGAGTACAATTAGCTCAATTAACTGTTATTTACAACTTATTGTATAAAACCCAAAGCTATAAACGAGGAGGAATCTTTTTTAGTCAATTTCTACACCAATCTCTGCAATTTTGCATCTTTTCTCACCAAGCTCAGGGTGAATTGATTCATTTGGGACATTTTTAAGGTTTGGAATATGGCAGACATGTTTGACTAATGTCTGATTCAGACCTTTCACCATGTCTTAAACTTTTTCAACTCCTTTGGCTTTATGTTTCTGGGTTAAAGAAGATAATTAACCCAAAATTAATTATGTGGATTAAAACGTATTTTCAATAATCATTACTTAAAAGAGACACATTTATGGAAAATTTACAAGTCATTTACAGAAAACACCCAATGTTGTTTCTGTTTTGCCCTTACAACTTCACAGTTAAATTGTCCATTTAAGGCATTTTCAGACGTTGAAACCATTACCAAACTCCACTACAAGATGGTTGCTAGTGCCAGGACTGTTTTGATAGCTCGTTACAAGAAAAATATCGTGGAAGCGGCAATTTATGGTCTGGAATTAGAAGGTTTCTTCAACCCAAAATAGCAGTGGCTAAATCAGTTGTCTCTCTCCCAGTTTTCTTTCATCTTCTCCTCATTGTGTCATTTGACTCTGGTATGTGCCTTTTCCATTGTCTTTCGTTTCTGTGTTTGATATCAAAGCATAAATGGTAAAATTGCAGTCAGATCCAGAAACACTGAACAGAGCCATGTTCTAGGTGGGAGGAGGGGCCATCGTCTCAGCTTTAATGGTTTAACTGCATTTTAGGCCACTGATAGTTTTGAAAATATTGTAATTAAGCCCTGCCCTGCCCTGCCCCTCCCCAAAAGTTCTGATTTAAATTTTTTTAGCATCATTTCAGTTTTAAAATCAAAGAAATTAAGTCTTGACCCACAATTTTATGGTTTAATTATTTTCTAAGACCTTTCAATTTTAAAATATAATTAATCTCAAGATCTCTTAATTTTTATGGGTTAATTTATTTTTATAATGATATTTGTTTCAGAATTAAACAACTTAATCCTCATAATTCAATCCTGACTACGTACCTGGTTAGATACCTTCAGAATTTGTCAGATTATACCTTAATATAATGGTAAAATTGTATTTCCACTCCTAAAAGTTGAAAACTATGAACTACTCATCGAAATTTTATTCCCATTTATGCAGGGATCTTATTGAAGCTGGCCAATGGACAGGTAAAAGAAATCAGCGTTTAACTGAGATAATACCATATTTTTCCATTGAAACTTTTTCCCTTTCAAATTCTCATGTTTTTAATGATAAAGGGGGCAAATGGTATGTTGCAAAGCCATCCACCGATGATGCGGCACTGGCGTCCAACATCAACTATGCCTGTGATTATATTGGATCCAAGGGATTGAACTGCAGCCAGATACAGCAGGAGGGAGCGTGCTTCGTCCCCGACACTCTCATCAACCATGCGTCCTACGCCATGAATGCTTACTACCAAGCCTATGGTCGTCAACCACACCAGTCTTACTTCACCAACTCTGCTCTCATCACAATATCCAATCCCAGTAAACAGTCTCCGTTAAACCCTAATCCTGTTTGAAAATATGTTTTTTGTTTGCTGTTTATGTTCCATTGCTGACATTGTTGTTCATAATGTTCTTTTTTTTCTTACAGGCTTGGAAACTGTCAGTATGCATGAGGGTTGGTTGATCTGGTATGGAAGACGATGGCACTGTTTGAAAGTTTTCTGGGTTTATTGTGGAATAATTGTAGCCAGAATCTTTATATTTATAGTTATTTTTATATCATGATTTATTTACATATATGATGAATGTGTATCCATGGATGCTCTTTCGTAATACTAGTTTGTTCGGAATAATAAATGATGTGAATCTTCGGTTCTTCATTTTTCTATCATCTTTCCTTCGTCATCTTTACATTTTCATTCGTTTTCTCATTCCCCAAACACCATAAATATGGCATGATTAAAGTTTCTAACAAAATATATTGTTGCACCAATGAATGGTTACAAAAAAAAAACATTGCTATTGTTTATCTTAGTACATTTATGATTATTAATGATGACCCGCCTTCTTCATTGATAATTCCGTTAAGGACGATAATGAAACAAAAACATAAAATGCAACTAAACATGATTATTACGAGTCCTCAATCCTCTTAAAACTAGGTTTTTGCTTCAAAAAAGAAAACTACATATACATCCTCAAGTACAAAGAAAAAACCATTCCCACTGATCCCATCTATTCATGTTATAGCCCTTTAATACCAGTAACTGATTAATAATCCTTGGGCTGTTGAGAAGTTAGATGAAACTACAGTAGTCAAATACATACATATATATATATATATTGAAAGAAAGAGATTCATGGTTCATGCTTTAGGAACATGGAAGGAACCATGTCTTGAAGAAGGCCGTTGTCAGACTCGGAAACCTGATGCTGGTAGTGGTGCTGCTGAAAATGGATTTCTGCAAACTTAGAAGATGCTGCGGCTTTGGTCATTCATGTGATGAGGCGCCATCCGCATGAACAATTCGTGCGGGAAGCTCGTCGTCCCCGCCAGCTGCGGCGGAGGAAACATCGAAGGCTGGAGCAGTGCCGCCGCATTCCCTCTCAGTGATGTGGGAAGCTGGTGGTTGTGTTGGCCTTCATACGTCGTGATCACCGTCGACGGATCCTGGTACGACCTCTCCACCCTTTTCTTGACCGTACACTTCTGTGTAGTGCACCGATAGTAGCTTCTACAAAACGAAAAAGCTCTCCAAATCATTCACCATATGAATGAAATAAACAAGCTTGTTCTTGTTTGTTTCCGGGAAAAAGTCTAGTCATAAACAGGGAATTCAACTATACAAAATCCATCAAGCTAGTCAAAGAAAGGGCGAAGAAGATAATGCAACCAGCCAAGCACAGACCAAAGACATGTAATCAGGTTTCAGACAAGGAACCAAACCTTGGGTACGGGCTGTTCTTCACAGCTTTCTGTCCATATTTTCTCCACCGATACCCATCTTCCAGATGATCAACTTCACTTTTCGTCATGAAAGCAAACCGTGGTTCTTTTTGCTTCCTCTCTTCTTTCTTTTTAGCTGCTTTGCTCCTATTACAGACACAATAATCAATTAAAACATTCAAAGGTTTCATCAAATCAAAGAAATGGAGATGAAGGTTAAGCCGATTACCCTTTCTTAGAGCTTTCTTTGCCGCCGTCATCGTCCGACTCTTTCGGCTGCTTGTTCTTATTCTCTGAATCTTCTTCACAATTACCGGCGGCCTCGCTTGAGGAAGAAGAAATGGAGGATTAGGAGCAATGGCCATAACTTCGCCACTATTAACACCAACACGCTCCTTTCTCGTTGGGGAAAACACTTCCGATGACAACCCGAAGGCTTTCTCAAGTGAACCATACTGGTCCATCGAACCGTGTAAACAATCCGTCAAACTCATGTACGAGGAAGGGTATTGTTCAGCCGATGAAACCATAAACATGTCGGCTGCTTCCACATGACAATCGTTGTTCAAGATTGTGCTTGCATGGTAATAAAAGTCTCTAAATTCATGATCCGACATGGAGAGAGATCAAACAAAAGGGTTCAACTTTTTGTAGTTTCAGGGTTTCATGGTATCCCTTACCATGTTGTTTGAGCTATATATATATATATATATATGATGAAGACATGGAAATAGAGTGTTTAGCTTTGAATGGGGCGGGGCGGGGCTTTGGGTTTCGGTTGCCACTTTATAAAGAAGGGTTGACAAAAACAACCTTCAATGGGACGAGCATCAAGTGGCTTCTACCATGGAAACATTTACTATCGAATTTTATATATAATATTTCCATTTTGGCTCTATATAAATTTCTAATATGATTTAGTCACGGTACTGTGATGTACGAATAGAATTTGACACATTATATATAGAATCTATAGGGGTGGTGCAGGGTTAGTGGTTCTTTTATAGTCTAGATTTTGATTTGAAAATTAATTTTTATTTGATTTTTATTTTTTAAAATTTAATATATTTTATTTTTTGAATTTGTTTTAATAGATAAAAACATATCTTTAACCTAATATAAACAAAAAAAAATATTAGTTATTCAATAAAATACGAAGATATTTAAAATATATATAAAGAAATATTATTTCCAGATATATATAGAAAATTGTTATAATAATCATTTGAGTTTGATAGATGATATTTACCTTAAATCTGACTTTGTTTTCATAAAATTCATTTTGAATTTATATTCAAAAAGATCAAATCTACGAAATCAAATCGAAATCTACTAAAATTTAATATTTTAACTATCCTTATATATAGCGGGTAAAGAAAATAACAATAACAATTAAATAAAATTCTACAATAATTATAGAACTAGTTGTAGATATTTGTTTTCTAAATCAAATGTTTGAATATTCTCAAACATAAAATTAATTATAATCAATAATTTAACATCAACAACAAGTATTTTGGATATTTATTTTTAATTATAAGATTGTCTTTCATTCTTAAGGAGGACTCAATAAATATGTTTTATGAAAGATTACATAATCGTGGTAAGAGTGATTCGTATTGTTGTATTAAGAGTTGATGAATATTTAAAATAAATTATTACCTATGAAATATAAAAAAAATAAGAGTTAAAGCTTCCTGTGTCCCGAACTATAACCCTCATTTCAAATTAGTCTTTAAACTTTTGATTACTTTAATTTCATCCCTAAATCATGACTCTCATTCTAAATTAGTCTTTAAACTTTTGAACATTTTAATTTCATCCCTAAACTACGACACTCTTTCTAGATTAGTCCCCAAAATTTTGAATATTTTAATTTCATCCCAAAATTCATCCTAATATGTAATTAGTTTCAACCACAATTTAACCTAATTTTTTTTCAAACATATAATAATATAACTTGGTCTAATGATTTTATTAACAAGGGATGTGCTTATTATATACGTATAGTTTGGGATGATATTGGAATGTTAAAAAAAATTGAGGACTAATTTAGAATAATAGCCATAATTTAGGGATGAGATTAGAACATTTAAAATTATATGGATCAATATAAAATAAAGATCATGTTTTAAGGACATGTGATGCAATAACTCAAAATAAATGAGAAAGGTGACACTTAAGATAAACCATCAATATAAATATTTTAAATTTTATCTTATTATATTTATTAATTTAATTAAAAATTATCTTTAATAAATTTATCTTACATTTATAAATTTTTTTGGTTATATGTACTTATTATGATATTTATGTAAAATATCAATTGGAGAGGCCGGGAAGATGAGACCAAACAAAAAAGGCAGTCAAAACATTCAAACTTGAGGAAGTATTATAATGATCGAATATTAGGCGTACACGTGCCGTTATTTGGTACCGGCTTTGACCGTCGCCGACAACACCACCCGGCACGTGGGAGATCCTTTCGGCTTTCGCTGCTTCTGCTGATGGCTGTCCTACGTCACCCATTCCTTCCCCTTTTTGCCCCCTTTCTTCGAATTTTCTAGGAAAAAAGCATCACCTCTTCGGTGATTCTTTGGTATAATTTTTTATTTTGGTCCCTACATTATACTGAAATTCGAATCTAATCCTAGGGATCAAAGCTCGAACCTTGGAAAAAATGTTAATGTCAATTAATCACTGAGATTTGAATAAAAGATGTTGTAACATTATAGCATGTAAAATTGTACATGACTTGCTGTAATTTGTGGCTATTTTGTCTTCTAATTTACTAATAAGTTGTTTGGTTTTAATTAAACCTCAATTTGAGTCTAATGTTTTTACTTCTTATTTTATCAGTATGATTTTGTCGATCAATATTCGATATTTGATTTATCATTTTTTTAATTTAATATAAATTTTATGAAGATTTATTATAAGACGAGAATTCATTTTGATTACTCAAAAATAATATTATTTCGTTATATAAAAAATAAAGGTAGGAAAATGTCAAACTTGTACCGATGACAATTCTCCATCTACACCACTAGGAAGTTTCAAAGGGATAAAGTTTTTTTTTTTTTTACATTTTAAAACACTACTTTAATTATTAATTATGATTTCAAATTCTAATGTGAAAGCTCTTACCCATTGCTTGATTCTTTCAAGCAGTCATTCCAACTACTTGGGCTAAGTATGAATTTATTTAAAGAATGCACTCTCTTTTTTAATTTTTTTTAATAAAAGGTAACATATATTATTATAATATTGTATTGATATTGTTTGAAAGGGTCATCAATAATATTTAATTTCTTAAGTTGACTTTGGCTATTCTGTGATCCGTACTTCATATATATATGTATAATTATTTTAATTTAAAATTAATCAAATTCATGGTCTCGGTACAGTCAAGATTACTGCTGAACATGATTCCACTCTACTTCACTTACTACAACTAAAAGGTTCATAGCTTGTGATGCATACTTCATCTACGATATAAGATTATATATATATATATATATATACTACTTTCACATGCAAGAAGAAAGTTGGCTTTATAGAAGACATGGAATATATATGTGTGTGTGTCATTTGTTCTACTGAGAGTTTTCTAGAGAAATTTTAAAAAATCAAAAAGTCGACATTAATATATTGTCTTTGAATTAGAATTTATTTTTTCTAATTTTATCAAGAATTCTGATAATTTATAAATAAAGTAACTAAGGG